GAATATGAGTTGCTGTTCCTGCAACCTTCGGGTGGCATCGTTGTGGCACTGCAGGAGGCCCAGGATGGACATGTCATCTGAGGAATGGGAGGGGGAGTTGAAATGGTTCGCGACTGGGAGGTGCAGTTGTTTGTTGCGAACCGAGCGTAGGTATTTCAATATGCTTGGCAGGGCAACAAACAAATGGAGAAAGATAGTGGATCGGTAGCAGCAAGTATTGGAACTCTTACTCTCCCTGCTTTGTTCTCATCATCCCAAATGCCAGCACCAGTGATAAATTAGAAAAATATCCATTCACTGAGAAATCAATAATTCTATAAATTTCACTGCCACTGAGTATACAGGACACCAACTAAACAGCAGTAGGCTCAGGTTCAACTGTATCAACTTGAGGGCTCTAAGAACTTTTTAATCTGCATATTCTTTATCTTCCTATTGTATTAGACACTCTCCCCTTTTAAACTTTCCAACTGTTATGTGTGTTGGATGTTGCGTGTGTCATTTTTTACTCCAGGTTAGTAAATATTAAAATTCCTTTCTTTCACAAAAAAAACTTTGTAAGTGACTCCTTAATTATAATCTAGCGACTACATTTCAATTAAAGTGTGATTAAACTGTATGCTAAAAATAATTAACATTTTGTTGGACAAACCAAGGGGCTTAAAAGAGGAGAGCCAATTCATTCCCCACCCTGGTCATAACAAACTTTGCAAGGGATTCCAATTCTTCACTGTTGAAGAACTAGTTTCAGAACTTCCTCAAAAGCCACTCCATTGTGGACTTCTTCAGAGACTGGCAGTTCACCTTCCTTCCCCAGAGCTGTACTCCCTTAGATTCTGAAAACTGCCTACTCACACCTACTCACAGGCACAACTCCTGCTTTTTCAACTAGCTTCACCAAACTGGTGCTGTCCTTGCATTTCTCCAAGCTCAAATATTTCTCAACTTCACCATGCAAAAACAACTTGTGGGCACCTTCACTTTGCTCTGAGTTGCACTGAACTATTGATGGCACACGGCTTCTTCTACGATGCCTGCTGGTCCCAGAGCTTTTCTTGACCCCTAATCCAAATGCTTAGGTGCACCTTCTGGCTCACCAGACTTTCCGAGTCTGAATGACTTGGAACTTTTTGGTTCCTTTTTTGAACCTAGTGGCAACTTTTCGAGATGGAGTCACTTCTCCATGCACAAAATGTCTGACTGATTAGCAGCCTGAAGGTAGCAATCTTCTCCTCTGACTGCCTCCATCAAGCTGTCTAAAATGGATTATTCACTAACATTCAAATGCAAGAACACATGGAACATTCTATTCCCTAAATGTTATAACTTTCATAGCATGCTGGTTTGCCCAGTGCAAAAAAAGTTTTCATTTCAAAACTTATAGTAAATCGTTTAAGGACGACTTCCTTATTTCATACTAGAGACTCTCAAAATACAAATACAAACAACTGAATTGTCTTGATCCTAGATGTTCACTGTGTGAAGCTGCAAAGTATTCCATAACCACCACCATCCCTTACCTTTAGCTTCATTTACTGTAAGTATTCCAAGTACAAATTCCTTGGTTGACCATTGTAAAAACGTGGATCAATGTAGACAATACATGGACCCCTTCAATTTTGATGCTTCAAATCACCAAAGAGCAACACAGATTTTAAATATTTCATAGTTCTATAATAAAAGTACAAGTCTAGAGAAATTAATCTTCTGTGAATACTATCCTTCACTTATACTCACTCCTGTTCCCTTAAAAGTCTTCTATAATGTACCCCTGGTTGTTAATGTATCATATAGATTTTATCACCTAAAACATTTCTAAAGTTTAAAAGTGATGCACAATGTAATTCCCCGTTGTTATTCTATTTACAGGTCCTACTTTGTCCAATGCTATGGTAAATGCAGGCCTTACTACATTCCAGAAGATAGAAGACACAAATGCAAGAGAATTAGAGCTGGTATTAATTTTTCAACCAATTCTTTATTCATATAAATAAATCTCCCCTGATATTTTTTCATGGAGCACCCTGTGCTTTTATTTTTTTCTCTCTTTCTCCTATCTGTCAGGTATTGCTTGGTTATTATAAGTTTCATGAAGCATCATCAAACCCTGTTTATGGAAGAAGACCATAAGATATAGGAGCAGAATTAGGCCATTTGGCCCATCAAGCCTGCCCCACCCTTCCATTCTCCTGCCTTCTCCCTATAATCCTTGCTAATCAGGAACTTATCTATCTCTGTCTTAAATATGCTCAATGTCTTGGTCTCCGCAGCCTTCTGCGGCAATGAATTTCACAGATTTCACGTTTTTATTGAATCTGGTTTCACCACCTGTCATGGTGGCTTTTGAACCCATGTCGCCAAAACATTGGCCTAATGTTCTGGATTGCTAGTCAGGTTGCATTACAACTACACCACCACAACACCACATGCCACTGAATGTCAAGAGGTAATGGCTACATTCCATCTTGTTGGAGATAGACATTTCCTGATACTTGTGTGATGCGCACATTACTTGCCAATTTTGGGCCAAACCTGGATATTGTCCAGGTCTTGCTTCCTTTGGATCTCTTCAGTATTTGAGGAATCACAAATGGTGTTGAACATTGTGCAATCATCGGCAAACTGAGTTATGACCTTATAAGGAAGGAAGGTCATTGATGAAGCAGCTGATAATAGTTGGACTCAGAACACTACCCTGAGGAATTCCTGCAGAGATATCCAGGAGCTGAGATGACTGACCTCCAACATTTTCTGTTGTACCAGGTATGATTTCACCCATGGAGATCTTTCCCTGATTCCCATTGACTCTAATTTTGCTAGGTTTTCTAATGTGACACTCAGTCAACTGCAGCCTTAATGCCAATGGCAGTCACTCATACCTCACCTTAGAATTGAGCTCATTTGTCAGTGTATGAATTATAGCTATATTGAGGTCAGGAGTTTAATAGTCCTTGCAGTATACCCTGAGCTTCAGTGAACTTCAGGTTATTGCCCAGAAAGTGCTGCTTGATCAGACTGTTGATGACACCTTCCATCACTTCACTGGTGATCAAGAGCTAGGTTGGATTTGTCCTGCTTCCTGTGCACAGGACATAACTAGACAATTTTCTACATTGTTGGGTAGATGCCAATGTTGTAGCTGCTCTGGAATAGCTTGGCTAGGAGCATAGAGAGTTGTGGAGCATATGTCTTCAGTATTATTGCCAGAATGTTGTTAGGGCCTGTAGCCTTTGCAGTATCCAGTACCTTCAGCCATTTCTTGATACGTGCAATGAATCAAATTGCCTGAAAACTGACACTTGTGATGCTTGGGACCTCTAGAGGAAGCTGAATTGGATCTTCCATTTGGCATTGTGGCTGAAGATTGTTGTAAATGCTTCAGCCTAGTGTTTTGCACTGAATTACAGAGCTCCCATATTATTGAGAATGGGGATACTTTTGGGGCCTCCTCCTCCAATGATCTGTTCAATTGTCCACGACCGTTCACAACTGGATGTGGCAGGCCTGCAAAGCTTAGACTTGATCCGTTAGTTATGAAATTGCTTAGCCCTGCTTATTATTTGTTTATGCCGTTTGGCATATTAAGAGTCCTGTTTTGTAGCTTCATTAGGGTGACCTCTCATTTTAGGTATGCCCTGTGCTGTTCCTGGCGTGGGCTCCTGCACTTTTCATTGAAACAGAGTTGATCCCCTGGATTATTGGTACTGGTAGAGTGAGGGATATGCTGTGTACTGAGGTTGCAGGTTTTGTTGGAATACAATTCTACCGTTGCTGATGGCCTGCAGCCTGAATGGCTAGATCTGTTTGAAATCTATCCCATTTAGCTCAGTGGTAGTTTCACATGACATGATAGAGGGTATTGTCAATGTGAAGACGTGACTTTGTTTCCACGAAGTCTCTGTGGTGGTCGCTGTGGACAGGTGCTTGTGCAACAGGCAAACTGATGAAGATAAAATCAAGTATATTTTCTCCATGCTGTATTGATCTGTTTACTATGTGTTGTAGAAATGTTTGGAACATTGACTTAGTTTAATTCACATACATTTTATTGCATTATAGTCAATATATAAAAGTTCTATGAAAGTGGAGAATCATGGTCATTGTTATTTTTGTAGATTGTAAACAGACACCCTCCTTTTGGAAACCAAATAAGAGAATCTGTTCTTCATCTCCCAAAGTATGAGCTCAGTGTTGAACAGGTAATCTTTGGATTATTGGTATTGTGCCATTTCCTTTGCAGTCAAATGGATGCGCAGTAGTATTTACAAGAAAGAAGTGATTTGTTCATATTTTGCTTGTTAATAATTGTAATTATTTATGACTTGAATTCTTTATACAAAGGATGATTTTGATCATTCACGATGGTGAAATCAAGTACTCTTTGTGTTTAAAATATTGCTGAAAATCACAAATAGAACACTTCCTTCATTGAACAAAAACAAGTTGCTGGAAAAGCTCAGCAGGTCTGGCAGCATCTGTGAAGGAAAAAACAGAGTTAATGTTTCGGGTCCGACGACCCTTCCTCAGTTCTTACTCAGACCTTTCTCAGAACTGAGGAAGGGTCACCGGACCCGAAACATTAACTCTGTTTTCTCCTTCACAGATGCAACCAGACCCGCTGAGCTTTTCCAGCAACTTTGTTTTTATTCCTGATTTACAGCATCCACAGTTCTTTCGGTTTTTACTTCATTCATTGAGGTTTTTAAGCTCTTTGATTATTATAAAGTATGTTATGCATTCATTCATTTGGATTTTTTTTCTTTTGAAGCTTGCAAGATACCATGAATCAGTGGCAGAAATTATTGTGAAAATCACCTTAACAAATTATCAACAGCTACGGGAAAAGAGAACAGCACCTGACAATCACCACACTTCCCTAATCATCGGAGATGCAGACAACCAAGTTGTCTATAAACGAAAAATCACGCAAGTATCTAATCTATTAAGCCATATAGTGCAGAATCATCTGAAAACTTGCAAATGGAACTAGTTAATTTTTCAAAACTTACTTGTCACATTTAAAACCTCAACCCTGTGTCTGCATTCAATCTACATTGGGTATTAAAACTACCTGTTGTTTGCCAGAAACCATTTATAAATTTTCTAATACATTTGCAGTACTCCCATCCAAGAAATCTGTCTGGATTCCACATTGGATGTGTATCAGACCCATTTTTCTTCATGAATTTAAGTAATTAACCCTTATGTGGTTACATTAGTAATTTGGATTTAAAATTATTAATTGAATACAGAGAAAATTCCATTATTGGGGTGGTTGGCAAATGGCAATGGAGTACAGCATGATATTTTCTACAGGGCATTAGGATACCATCACAGGTTCATTAGGTAGCAGCAGACTACAATGGAAGGATAATCCCACAAAAGGAATGTTAGTGCTGATATTAAAGGAAAAATCATGCCAGTGACTTTGAATTTGCCCACTGGTCCTGAAGAGATAACTCACAAAGTATTTTGATGTTGACCTATTTATAAGTTGATAATATTATTGTTTGTCTATTGTGTGATTAATTGACTAAATCCTAGTTGAAGTCTGAACGTGATCATCATACTTAACATTTTGGTTGGGATTTGTACTTGGTACTGGAAGAGAAAAACTTTGGAGTGTAGAAATTTTAATTTTAATAACTGTAATAAGCCTGTAATAACTCAGAAAACCCATCTGGAAAGGAACATAGTTTTTCGCCGAACACCAATATAGGGCAATTATTCATGATATACATAGGCTAATACCAGACTGGGACAGAAAGTTCTATAGACCCATCCCCTTTTTTTCATATCCGGAAGTGTTATTACACACAACTGAATGGCTTTCGCACCACCAGATTACCATGACTTTTTTCTAACGCCTGACCACCACCAGTAAATTACCCATGCAGCCAATTAGGTATTTACATGCAAAGTTATGGGGTCCAGATCTGCTTTTTTCTCGTGTAACCAGAAGTGTTAACACACCCAACTAAATGACTTTCACACCACAAAATCACCATATCGCCATGACTTTTTTTTTGTTTTTAACTATAAACCACTATTAGTAATCACCAATGAAGCCAATTAGAAGCTCATATGCAATGCAAACCATCAAAATTGAGTTGGGGTAAGGAGAGTGGGAAGGGACTAAATCAAAATGGAGTTGAAGGGGGAAATAAATGTATCTCCCAAAGTGCCCACCTCTCTTTAAAGACAGTGAGAACATTGATAGACACCATGTGCCCACTCTCCAAGGACACCTGGCACAAATGTAACCACGGAAGAGATGCAGACAGTTGGCCTCCACAGCTCACTGCCTGGACCTATTTATAGCCAGCTTGTCCAGACCCAGGAGCAGACCCTTAAGGAGGTCCTCTGATCCAACCACCCCTTCCATACCGGATGCCCAAAGATCAGGAGCGTAGGGCTGAAGTGCAAAGAAAACATAACAAAAAGACTTTTCAAATAACTGAAAAGGGAGTGAAGTCAGCTGCAACCAATACAAACATGATCCACAGACTCTTCAGCACCTCAAAATAAATAGTTGGGCTGGGAGCCCATGAACTGCCATAATCTGTAGTTATAAGAGACTGCTATGTGCAACACCCTTCGCCCCAAGTCCCCAATGAAAAGTGGGAGTCCTCCCACATAGAGAGCCCTCCACTGGGGATAACTGAGTGACCTTCCCACCACAAAATTCCCATGACTGTTTTGTTTTGTAAACTACTAGCCATCAGCATCAGTAAAACACTCATGTAGCCAATTAACTATTTAAAAGCGAACCCCATTAATGGCAATAGGGAATAAAAACTGAAAGAACTGTTGTGGTTGGTTGGCTCGCCGAGCTGATTCGTTGTTCCGCAGACGTTTCATTACCCTGCTGGGTAACATTAGCAGTGCAGCCTCCGATGAAGCGTCATTCTGTTTTCCCGCCTGGTTTTTAAACTCTGGAGTCTGTTGAGCTGGATAACCCCACTTCCAGTTTTCCTTCGTAGTGGAGTGAGGTAATCCAGCTCAACGGACTCCAGAGTTTAAAAACCAGGCGGGAGAAAACAATGGCACTTTATCGGAGGCTGCACTGATGATGTTACCCAGCAGGGTAATGAAACGTCTGCGGAACAACGAACCAGCTCGGCGAGCCAACCAATCACAACACCCAAAACCTGAGCTACAAATCTACTCCAAATCGAAAGAACTGTGGATGCTGTAAATCAGGAACAAAAACAAAGTTGCTGGAAAAGCTCGGCAAGTCTGGCAGCATCAGTGAAGGAAGAAACAGAGTTAACGTTTCAGGTCCGGTGACCCTTCCTCAGAATGGGCAATAGGACTGCTTTTATTTTATATTCTACCCAGAGTGTTAACACACACAACTGAGCGACCTTCCCACCACCAACATCACCGTGACTATTTATTTTTGTTGAAAACTATGAACCACCACCAGTAAAACACCTGTGTAGCCAATTAACTGTTGACAAGCAAAGCCCATTATGGGCAATAGGGTCTGCTTTAACATTTGAGACCATTGGTGTACTTTATAATTATTTTTAACCTATTTTGTAAACAACCTGTTCGTAAGTGACATTTGCGCCACACAAATGCCAGTCTATGACCATCACCAATAAGAGACAATCTAACCACCACCCCTTGACATTCAATGGCGTTACCATCACTGAATCCCCCACTATCAACATCCTGGGGGTTACTATTGACCAGAAGCTCAACTGGACTCACCACATCAACAGAGTGGCTACAACAGCAGGCCAGAAGCTGGGAATACGGCAGCGAGTAACTCACCTCCTGACTCCTCAAAGCCTGTCCACCATCTATAACGCATAAGTCTGGAGTGTGATGGAACACTCCCCACTTGCCTGGATGAGTGCAGTCTCAACAACACTCAAGAAGCTTGACACCATCCAGGACAAAGCAGCCCACTTGATTGGCACTACATCTGCAAGCATTCACTCCCTCCACCACCGACGCTCGGTAGCAGCAGTGTGTACTATCTACAAGATGCATTGCAGAAATTCACCAAATTTCAGACAGCACCTTCCAAACCCACGACCACTTCCATCTAGAAGGACAAGGGCAGCAGATATATGGGAACACCATCACCTCCAAGTTCCTCTCCAAGTCACCCACCATCCTGACTTGGAAATATATCACCGCTCCTTCACTGTCACTGGGTCAAAAACCTAGAATTCCCTCCCTAATAACATTGCAGGTCAACCCATAGCAGGAGGACTGCAGCGGTTCAAAAAGGCAGCTCACCACCACCTTCTCAAGGGCAACTAGGGATGTGCAAGAAATACTGGCCAGCCAGCGACGCCCACGTCCCACAAATGGATAAAAAAAGTATTATTTGTATTTGTAAACAACGTGTTCAGAGATATTATTACACACCTCTGGAGCAGGTGGGACTTGAACCCAGGTGTCCTGGTCCAAGGATAAGGAAAAGAGTGTCTGCATTTCTTTTTCTACCCAGCAGTGTTATCATACACAACTGAGCACCTTCCCACTGCTAAAATAACCATAACATTTTTTTGTTTGCTTTTTTTTAAATTAGAACCACCACCAGTAAAAACACGCATGCATCCAACTGAGTATCTACGAGCAAAGCCAATTATAGACAACACCATGAGTAGAGGAGATGATGGCTCAGTCATAGTTTTGCTAGACAATTAATCCAGTGACCCAGGTAATGTTCAGGGGATCTGGGTTCAAATCCTACCATGGCAGATGGTGAAATTTGAATTCAATAAAATTCTGGAATTAAAAGTCTAATGATGACCATGAAACCATTGTCGACTATCAGGAAAAACCCATCTGGTTCACTAATAGCCTTTAGGAAAGGTAATCTGCTAACCTTTCCTGGTCTGGCTTATATATGACTCCACACCCACAGCAATGTAGACTGTCAGCTGCCCTCTGGGCAATGAGGGACAGACAATGAATGCTGGCCCAGTCACTGACGCCCACATTCTGTGAATTAATTTTAAAAACCACCAAGGTGAGGGAGAGGCTAGGGACAGCAAAAAGGGACTAAATCAAAATGAAGTTGGAGGGAGATATAAGACACTGTATTCCCAATGGTGCCCACCTGTGTCTAAAGACATCAAGAGCATCATGCTCCTTCTCTAATGATACCTGGGCACAAATATAACTGCAGAAGCGGTGCAGAAAATCAACAGAGAAGAGGGTCTCCTTTATAAAGGTTTCAAGTGATGAGTTCCAGCTGCCTGTTATCAAGGGAACTCATATTCAATGAGCTCCACAGAGAGATTAACTATGATTCCTGTGGGCTTTTTAGGAGTTATCACAAACCAAAAATAATTTTGCTTCCATGAATGCCCAGTATAGAATCTATGCTGCTGCTTGTCTAATATGAAGTAGACCACAAACACTTGAGCAATTACCCAAACTGAGGTGTTATGTAGTTTGCAGAGCAGGCTACCAACAGGATTCCCACCGTCATGTTGCAACCTACCCCACAGAATAGGAAATTTTACCAGCGCTGCAGTGAGATTAGAAGAGTTGTGAGCATTGCTAATGAGATTGAAGTGTCATAATTAGTGTGCTAATGAAGCCCTTGGAACAGATTGGGGATTTTACAAATAAATTCAAGTGGTAGAATAGAGTCAGAGTAGGCTTCCAGCAGATTCTCTCTTTTTGGGCTATTACCATTACTACCCAGGAGGCCTAGACCCATAAATACCTTATGTATGTATCAGTAGGAAAGTAGCAGCTAACACAGTCCAAGCATGGGCAGGAAATTCAGGTGCTGGCTAATTCTGATTTTGTTCTAACATTAGGGATTCGGCCCTGCTGAAATCAGGAAACTGGATGAAGAAAATTGAAGTTAAAAGGGCCTTTAAAAGTGAAGAATTAAGTGTTCATCTTATAAGTTCTGAATATGGTAAGCCAGGTTTATGTTGTCAGTGTAGTTTTTTAATCTATATTTAAAGAAGAGCAATTTCAACAACTGAAGACAGATCCCCTTATGAGAGTTTCCAACTGCTGTGATATTTCCTTCATCAGTTTAAAAAAAGAACTCTGTTAAATTCATAATGGTCAGTATTGTATTAATGTCATTACCTAGTGTAATTAATTTTATTCAGTTATTCTTCTGATCAGGTTTGCCTTTGTTTAGCTGTTTCAGATTATTCTTTGCATCATTTTTAATGCATTTTGGAGACGTTTGCAGTCTCTATTTCTCAAAGTCTAAAGGTGAAGACCCACAACAGCAACAAAGTAATTTCAGGATATTTAAGAAAAATAACTAGCTTGCATTTCTAGCACTTTTCACAACTTCGGGACATCCCAAAGCCTTTAAGGGGAGCCAGTAGCCAAGTGGAATTATTGCTAGACAGGCAATCCAGAGACCAATTTCTGGGAACCAGTTTCCAATCCTACCACAGCAGATGGTAGACTTTAAATTTGGTAATAATCTGGAATTAAAAGGCTGATGATTGCCATCAAATAATTGTTAAAATCTGGCTCACTCATGTTCTTTAAGACAAAAAAATGCCATTCTTATCTGTGATTCTAGAACCACAGCAATATAATTGATTCTTAACTGCCCTCTGAAGTGGCCTAGTAAACCATTTAGTTGTATCAAGTTTAAAAAATTGTGGTTGTACCTATACCACTTGCGCCAGTACTAGAATGCAGCTCATCGCCACCTTCTCTAGGGCAACTAGATATCAAATGCTGACCATATCCATGAGTGAATAAACAAATAGAAATGAGGTAATGACCAGGAAACCTTTTTTGATGTTACTTGATGATAAATATTGGTCAGTTGACAATGATAACTCCTGTGCTCTTCAAGACTGTGCTAGGGGATCTTTTACATCTACTTGCAAAGGCAGACCCGGCCTCATTTAACATCCATTGAAGTGTTGCATATTATAGCAAGGCACGAGAGAAAGCATTGGATACAAATGTATTTGAGCCCTGACAACATGCTAGCAGTAGTACTGATGATGTGTGCCCCACACTAGCCTAGTTCCAGCACAGGTACAGCACAAGCATCTAGTCGATAACATGGAAATTGTTCAGCTATGTCCTGTCAACAAGTCATATAGAGGAGTACAGCTTCAACAACACTCAAGAAGTTTAACATTATCCAGGACAAAGCTACCTGCTCCATTGGCACCCTATCTACCAGCTAAAGCATTCTGGCTTACAGTGTCAGCAAAGCATACCATCTACAACATGCACTGCAACAATTCACCAAGACTCCTTCAAACTGGCAACCTCCACCACCGAGAACAATCAGAGCATGTGAATGCAAACACCACCAGGTACAAGTTACCCTCTCAAGTCACCCTCTCAAGTCACACAGCATCCTTGAACTATATAATAGCTCTTGCAGTATTGTTAGGTCAATTTTCTGGAATTCCTGAACTGCACTGTTGCATATCTACACAACATAGACTACAGTAATTCATAAGTCAACCAACCACAACCTTCTTGAGGGCAGTGATTTATTGGCAATAAATGTTGGCCTTGCCTTCGATGCTAACACCCCAAGAATGGGCAAGTCAGTAAAAGGACTGTCCTACTGACTGTGTAGCACTTCCTCTGAATTGCCTATATCTTGGAGTTGGACTTTAACCCATACGCTATGACTCAACAGTGAGTCTCCCACTTGTCACCTTGCTGACACATACATTAAGAACACTCTTAAAATGCTCAGCTCGGAAAGATAAAATTAGGTGCTGACATTAACAGGATTTTGGAACAAAAACAAAGTTGCTGGAAAAGCTCAGCAGGTCTAGCAGCATCTGTGAAGGAGAAAACAGAGTTAACATTTCAGGTCCAGTGACCCTTCCTCAGAACTGATAGTGGCCGGGAAAACGTCAGTTTATATGCAGAAAATAGGGAGATTCGTGGGATAGGGAGTAAACAATAGGATAGAGCCCAAAGGAAGAGAAAGACAGTTGGACAGACAAAAGAGTTGGTAACAATCAGACTGGGAGGGTGAGTAGTTGTTAATGGGAACAGGATTTTGCCTTTTCAGACCCTAACATCAGAACCTCCCACTGCTGTGGAAATAATCACCCAGCAATGATTGACCCCAATTTAACTATGAGTGTCTGAAGGGAAGGCTGGCCACTTAATTGGACCAATAATAGGCCCTTCAGCACTGAAAAAAATGCATGCTCCTTTTTCAGGCAAGAGAAAGAGTGGATTCTTGAGGCACCTCTCTCCAGCTATTTATGGTTTGAAATAAAAACAGCACTTAGCAACCAATCATTGAAGAGGAGGAATCTTTCAAAGCATGTTCTGCAGCTGCAACTGAAACAGGCTCATGTGATGAGCCTTGAAGTTTGCCTGGAGCTCTGACCACCTGATCTGTTACCCTAGTCCCTGAAAGACTGAGAGGCTTCAGGTGACTTCTGACAATAGGTCTTGATAGGTCTTTAGGAAAACTTAATTTACCCTCCCTGTGCCATCTCAGTAATAATAGCCTGGTTGTAGACTACCTGATTGGTGGCATGAAGTTCTGAACCCACTTGTCACATGCTCATCCTCAATGGAGCTAAAAAATCCAATTATTTGAGTAAAACTTCCCTTCTCCTGTCAGATGATGTTTGGATCAGGACTTTTGCTTGTCATTCTAACTCTGCTATGTTCCTAACCCAGATTCCCAGTGATACATGCTGCAACATAAAAAGAGATTAGACTGTTTAAAGAGAAAATAAGAATTCTAAAAGAAAATGTATGGAGTTTGTATGTCCATCCTCCAACTAAACTGAGCCATAAACAAGATGAGCAGAACTCTAGGATTTTGCCAATCTATGAAACTGACTGAAATTTTGAAGGATGCACAAGCATAGTTAAACATGGAAATGTAGAAGTTGCTGTCAATAAGTCTATGCTTCTCCAAAGGATGCATACCCTGCAGATTTCAACCAAACGGAAATCACTGAATTGATGAGAATTGGCCCTATTATGTTATTTGTCTGACTGTAAAAAGTTAGGTGTAACTGGTCAATTAAAGGCATGTTAAGTTCAAAATTACTTCTGTAAAACCTCTATGGGTCTGAAAACTGATTTCATATTTATGAAATGTTGAATTTCTCCATTGGGTAAAAAAAATTCAACATTTTAAATAAATTTGTAAAATTTCGTTTTGATATTTAAGTTTCGACCCTAATCCCATTTATATATATATGTATCATGCATTTTGCTTTCTATAAAGTGTAATAAAAAGTGAAGGATAACAAATGCATTTGATTCCTGGTTAACAAATAAAACCAGAACTGGGTAGTTAAGAAGCAAAATGCTGTTTCCATCTATTATATGCATGTCCTTTGCACTTCACTTGTGCACAACAGAATGGAGAAATATCATAGGGAAGTTCATTCTACAAACTTTGGCTTTCAGCACAAATTTCCAGTGATAGTGTTGACAAGGATAAAAATTAATCCAGCTTTTAATAGGGGGATGCTCAAAATGTAATCTATACTAAATTTCTGCTCTAGCTCTACCAAACTGGTAGAAAAAACACACCTTCAAACACTGCAAAAACTGCCAAATTAAAAGTAGCTATATACAAGCAGAGATAAATCAGATTTTTAAAATAACACAGTATTTCTTCTCAATCAGACTGTTTAATTTAATTGGAAACAACAAAGATCTTTTGAGATAACAAGGTGTAGAGCTGGATGAA